GCTTATCCATCTGCACCACTGGAGCTGATGTTTTACTGCCACTTTTTACTAAATGTAAATATACACCCCGTATTTTTTATTCCACAGTGAGGGCAATTCATACAATACATTTAAACTGAGCTACTTTAATACCATCTCCGAACTTTCTACTACGACTCTGCTGTTCTTCAGCTGGTTTTTCCTGTATACGTTGATTGACAGATGTCTCGTCCAGTCAGCGGTGAGTAATCCCAAACCAATGGCGCTGTCTCAAACTATACCTACCTCTTCCGGTTTGTCTGATTTGTCGTTGTGTTTTCTGACTTATTTAGTTTTCGAATTTGTCATTGTGTTTTCTGACTTGTTATAATGTTTTCTGAATTGTCGTTGTGTTTTCTGAATTGTTATTTTGCTTTTTAGACTTGCATTTGTATTTGTAATTTGTTCTTTTGTTTTCGGAATTGTGATTTGTTCTGCACTTCTCGGCCACCGTACACACACACACGCACACAAATACTGTATATCTAAACGGACAAGTTGGGGTCTGTTCCAAAACCTAGTGAGCTCCCTAACTAGACAGCATTCTAAGACAATATAGAGGCACTTCAAAAGGAACTCAAACCCTTTTAAGATATTAACACATTAGATTAAGACATTAGATGTACACTGCAAAAAATTATTCTTATTCTTATTATTTTTATTTAATTTATTTTTGTCTTATTTTCTAGAAGAATATCTAAACATTCTTAAATCAAGATCAGCGGATTTTAATATTATTTTCGTAAAACTCTTTTTTTACTATTTTAATTTTAGCCAATTTTCATCTGATATTTTAATTTAATTTCAGCTTTATTTTAATGATCAAAACCGATTTTTAAAAGTTTTAGTTTACAATAAAACTGATCAAGATGCATATACTTGAAATGCATAATGACAAGTAATTTTCTGAGAAACTGGTCAAACTTAAGTGATAACAAATTCTGCCATTGGGGTAAGAAAATTTAAATAATTCAAATTGAAAGGCAGATAACTGTTCTCATTTTAAGCATTATTTAATTTCATTTAGATCGATTTCTCATTAAGCATCATTTTATTTTTATATTAACCTTTTATTTATATTATAACCTTTTTATTATTATAATTATCTATAAAAAAACACTAAGGAAGAAAATTGGGTTTTTGCAATGCATCCTTTGTGTGCAATCCCAGAATGCATTGCAACAAAAATATCCATCCACAATTGTTTAAGAATATTTTCAAACAAAAACAAATAAGGTCATACTAATTCAAAAATAGATTATTAACACTTTTTTTTTTAAAGGTGCTGTATCAAGACAAAAGTAGTTCAACTGTGAAAAATTGTGCTCTATAGCAGTCTTCAATGCAAGAACACAGTCTCTTTGTAAGCAGTAGACAGGCGGCTCACTATGTTTTGGAACGGAGCCACTGATGGGGCTCCTCGGCTCCGTGACGGGGTCATTTTTCTCACTGTTGATGAAAAAACAAGGAAGGAAATTTGCATGGAAGCAGGAAGTAATGAAAAGCGTACAAGCACAGTCTTAATTGAGTAAAAGAAGGGAGTCTCAAACAAAGCGTCTTAATTAATGAAAGCTTTTAGCTAGCAGCTGCACCGGGGAACTGTTTACTACTGCTTCTTTTGTCTTTCTTATTTCATTTTAATGTGTTTTGTTGATGTCCTTGTCGTTGAGAAATTGCATGCATTCTGGAGTGCCAAACAAGGGTCTTTTTTCTTCTTCTTTCTGATAGAGAGAGGTGGTTGGAAACAAACCATCCTCTGTCGTCTCCTTTAGTCAAGTCTGTCCCACGGCACACTGCTGCATGCGTTACATGCTCGTTAATTGAGGGGAAATAGAGAGCAAACGACGCAGTGGAGAAGAGACGAGCTCTCCTCACTCTGACGGCCCATTAGTGCCTTCATCTTTGATGTTAGCTGCAAACGCTAGCTAAAAACAGACATTAACCGACTGACTTCCTCTCGTCAGGGAGCGTGTCATGGAAAAACGACTCACAGAAACACACCTGGCACATAAGTGGTGGACAAAAAATTCTTAATGCAATTCTAACAAAGTGCACAATACATTTGCATGTTGTTTTTGACTCTTCTGGGTTTATAACAGTGGTTTATCTTACCATGGTCCCCACGCTGTAAGTAGCTGCCGGGCCGATGCTGTGGTGATATGGGTCAGTAGTTGCATAGACTCTCCCATAACTGCAACTGGTGTGCAATTATTAAAACAAAAACTGAAATAAATACAAATTAAAGCAAATAAAAATGACAAAATCACATAAGAAAATGAGGTAAACTGAAATTAAAAATGAAAATAAAAAGAAGCTACTAATATATACTCAAAATATATTATTATAGTATATAAATAATACTAAAATAAACCTATGGACAACAAGCAGTGCCATTAAAAATGAAACTAAAAACATAATAAAACAATTTTAAAAAGATTCAATGTAATGCTTTAATTTAATATTTTTAATTACAAAAATAATCAATTAAAAATAAATGCCTTTCTGATAACCCTATTTTATATTTAGCCCTAACCCAAGTTAAATTAAAATGTGAAAAAAAGGGGAAAAAAGACACTCACATAAGAAAATAAAAATTGAAAATAAAAGCAAAAAAATACTATAATCAAAAGCACTGCATGCAACAAAATAGGGAAACGTGCCTGTGGTGACATTTCTGCAAAATTGTATTATGTTGCATATGATAATATGTTAGTTATGTTAGTCCAATATCGTGGAAGTTTGTAAATGAAATGTTCAATGAGTGCTGCTAAAATGCTAATGCTCTATTGCGTTGAAAATAGAGTATCACCTACAATAAACCCTACCATAAACCTAACCGATAGAGTTAACAAAAGTAAACATGAAATTAAACATGTATTTGCTGAAGCAACCATGACATTTTAGCTCACTTTCACATGCCTTTATCATGATTCGCATCACAAGTGCAATACTGTACCGGGTGCGCTACCAAGCAAGTTTACTACGTCAGAAAAGCCATTCATATGAAGCTGATTATGTGATGCTAAGCTCAAAATGTGTTAGTTTACAAACCAGGCGCTATGATAAAAGTCTTTTGAGGTCACAGCATAGTATTGCGAATGAAAACAAGCATTTATCAATCAATAATCAAAATTTGTGAGAACTAGTGTTAATTTCAGCTGGAAACTGCAGTGAATTGTATGTATAGGTAGGTTTTTGGAGTTTTGTCTTTTTCAGTAAGTTCACATGGGTTCACATGGGAGTCAAATCTTTTTTATGCTTTTAGCATTTTTTTTGTCTGCATAAGGGAACTTTCTTCAGGTAAACAACAAGAAAAGAGAAGACGACTGAAGAAAACAAATTAAGCATGAGAGCAAAAGAATGACTGAAAAGAGATAATGAGCGAGGGAAAAAAGGTGAAGGAGGCAAAAAAGGTGCTGTGGGCTTCGTGTTGCTGGTTTGGAACTAATCCTCCACAGGACGGACAACACGTGTCATTTCCTTTCATTTATATATTGCACATATTCTACTCTCTTCTGCTTCTTCTCCATATACAGCTTGCAAATGGAGGTCTGCAGACAGCAGATAAGAAAACACAAGCCCTCGGCTACGGCAACAATTCCAGCAGACGAATGGAGGGCGAGAGAGAAAAGGCCAGCTTTACCGTTAGAGATATATACGCTTTAATGTCTATGTGTGTGTGTGAAACTGGACATTCAGTGTGCTGACTCAGTCTGGATTGGCAAGAAACCTGCTTTGAAAGCACAGCACTGACTTCAGCAGAGCGCAAAACATTTCATTAATATGTATAATCAGTATTATTGTCTTGATTCCAAGTGAAAATATCAAAACATCCATTAAAACAACAAATTTGCTTGCGAAGCAAAACTGCATATTAAAATGGTGACTTGGTTCCTCATCAGCATATTGCAGCCACACTCAGACTCGCTATACAGACTCTGGCTGTATTTTATTTTCTCCTCATGTGAAATAAAGCTGAAATAAATTAGATGGGAAATTTAAGTGAAAATTGGAAAGTTGTTGTTGTAGAGAAATTAGTTTAAGCACTAAAATTACTAAAACTAAAACTGAAATAAATGTGAATTAAAGCTAAGAAGAAATATTTAAAAAAGCAACAAATCAATAGAAATGACAAACGCACATAAGAAATGTATTAAAGGGGTCATATGATGCGATTTCAAGTTTTCCTTTCTCTTTGGAGTGTTACAAGCTGATTGTGCAGAGATAAGATCCCTGAAGTTGCAGAGACTAAAGTCTCAAATCCAAAGAGATATTCTTTATAAAAGTTAAGACTCTGCCACGCCCCCCTAAAACGGCTCGTCCTAACACGCCGCCACATATCTACCTCACTATGTGGAAATATTTGCATAACGCCGCCCAAATGTTCACGCAAAGAAAGAAGGCGTGGTTTCAGTAACCACAGTTAGTGTTGAAGCAGCCATGTCAGGGAGACGCTGTTTCAGTGCAAAAGCAAAAGCACTTTATTTGGCCTCCCGGAAGTAGATGCATTTAGGAATCTTTAAGATGACTTACAACAGAACAGCAATGCATTTTATGGATGACCGTTTTGTTCCCCTTTCGGGCTCTGTCTTTACATTTATTTTGAAAGATGAAGCTGGCGATTATGGTAAGGGGCGTTACATTTCCGACGAGTGCTTGCGGTGTTCGGCCAATCACAATGCACTGGGTCAGCTGGCCAATCAGAGCAGACTGTGCTTGTCAAAGGAGGGGGCTTTGTTGAAAACGAAGCGTTTGAGAGAGGCGGGGCATAGAAAACCTACAATAATGTACAGTATTTGAAAAATAATGTGTTTTTTGAACATTAAAGCATGTCAACATATTCTGTTACACCAAATACACAAAATAATGATCTTTAAAAAAGCATCATATGACCCCTTTAAAATAACTGTTTTCTATTTGAAAACAAACTTAAATTAAAATGAAAACTCAAAATATAAAAATATAATATAAAAATTATATTAAACTAATAAATACTCAACATATTAATACATACTACAACTATACTAAAATACTGTTTTCAGGTCAATTTAAATAGTAAAACTATAGCTGCAAGTGCGATTATCGGGGTTCAAGCGCATATGAAAAGACATTACGTATCATTTAGTAAGCCTGTAACCACCTAAATCAATGATTTAATTTGTTTTTTTGGGGGCAAATTCAGGTAATTTACCATATAAATATGATGATTTTTAATGTTTATGACTGTTAAAGCGCCACCTATGGTTGCAAAAGTTTTTTTTTTAAATAATGTCAAATATTTTAAGCACAATTTGATTGACAGCAGCGGTCCTATAGGCAAAGTTGTTCAGAATGAGGAGATCGATCGTACGATGTGAAGATCTAGTGTATACGTGAATATATGCACATTTTCTACAATTTGAGGTAGTTTTTTTGAAGTCTTTTTAACTATTATATTGCCACCTGTGGTCCGATCTGCATGACACTTTGCGTGCTTGTGCAGAATCACCTGCCGCATGTGCTCACCTAGTTTCGTGAAGTTTTGAGTTTTCATTTAGGTTTTATAGGCTTTTGGGTATATTTGGACACACCCCTTTTCTAAAAGACCCTGTTATAGATACCCAAATGGTAAAGTTCAACATTTCTTTTTTTATATATATCATTGAAAAAACTGACCTACAGAGTCCAGAGAATTGTACTGCAGTGCTTTTTTCGAGATTGAGCGAAAAACCTAGGACTAGTTCGCAAAAGTATTTTGATTTTTTTTTACATATCAATTATGTAACAAACGATTTGATTGACAGCAATGGTTTTAGAGGCGAAGTTGTTTGGAATTAGGAGGTCTATGAGATGATATGAATATCGTGTGTATGTGTGAAAAACCTCGCAATATACAGTCGTTTATGGCCTTGAAAAATGCGATATCGCCCCACAGTGGCCCATTTAAATAGCAAAACATGTACCAGTGCTATGGAGAATGGAGCAGGGAAATTAAAAAAAAGCAAAAAGATACATTTAATAATTAAAAAAAAATATTACATTTAACGGTTTAATTTAATACTGTTAATTGTATACAAAAATCCATTAAAAATCAATACATTTTTGTAATGACACAACAAATGGTTACATACTAAAATGACTAAAATTAAAATGGAAATACAAACTGAAGCTAAATAGAAAAAACAAACAAAAAAATTAAATCGTTTATCTCAAAAACTTGAAATGCATGCATGAATGCAAGCAAAAATATATGTTTTGTTATTATCATGTTATGCAACACTGCATGTGTGTATGAACTTGTACCTGTCGCTGTACGCTGTAGCTGTTGCAGGCTGAGTATATCTGTATGCTGCATATCCACCCTGAAAACACAAAAATTACAAAAAGATCAACACAAAACAGACAAACATCAACAAAACTATTACTTCTATCACACAAATAGATATACAGCAACTACCTATTACACAAACACAGTGAGCAGTACTCGCAAATATTATTGCACAAACCACTTCATCTTGTGCTTCACATGTCTTTTTGTGGTCAAATCTTTACTGATTTTTATAACTCGCGTTACTTGTAATGCGTCACCCCCAACACTGTTTATGCATAATGTTTTAGAAAAATAGAACCCCCCCCCCCTCTATTCTCACTACATCAGACTATATGAGCCATAAAAGCTTGATGCGTCAAATATGATACCCAACAAAAAACACTTTTTCTTTAATGTTTTGTCTAAAGGTTCAATAAACTGTTCAATTTTTAAAAAAAACGAGACTTTTCTAATTAGTATTTCACATATCAGACTTTACAGGGTTAAGACTGCAGCCTAGTATCTTTACACAATCCTCAGAAGTGTGCGTATGATGCCTTCAGATGCCGTCTTTATAGGTTTTGAAACACATCTGTCTTGGTTCTTGTTGGTTTCTCTTGAAAACAGAGCAGATTCTGTTGATTTGCCGCTTGTATCATAATCAGCAGAGACTCTGAGGTGGAGTCGAGCTCATTTGTCTGTAGGCAGATAGCTAATAACACATTAATCAGAGCGTCAGAATGAGAGCAGCCGCTGTTTCACTTTCTCAGGCCCGACAAACATACACAACGGCCATGAGTGAGCGCGCCGTGCCACTGTGGGGCGCTGCGACACACGATAACACTGGTGATTTATGTTTGGGATGCTGAGTGTGGAAGGCTTACACTGATAATGTGTGCCGCATTTAAATCGGGCACAGAAAGAGTATTATTGAGTGGAGAATTTGAGACAGTCAGCACAGAACGGCTTGAGCGTTACTGAAACGAGCACACGGAGACTCTTGAATGCTACGGGAAGGGCTGGGTTTCCATTACTCGGAAAACAATTTGAATCGGAAGAAGTTTGTGAGTGAAAACGAAATGAAATCAGGTTAGAGGTTGAGCGGGGGATTGCAAGGTCATGTGACCCTTCCCCTGGGGACAGGAAGTGAGGAGGAGCAGGCGTGGTGAACTTCCTGCGGGACTGCACTGATTGGAGCCCCCGCCTGCGAACACATGGGGTAATAAATCAGACTGTCAACACCCCCGGCCCAATACACAGAACATGCCTCTATCAGGACACCGAGAGCCCCGACGCTAAATATAACAGACCACACCGCTGAAGATGAGAGAACAGACAATGAGAGAAGAGAGAGAGTAGAAAACATGCGGGAAGAATGAGAAGTGAGGAGAAAAGAAGGGAAGAAGAGGAGAGAATAGAAGTGAAACCTGAAACAAGGGAAACCAAACAAAAGAAAAAGTGAAAGACAAGTAAGAAAAGAAAAACAGAAGAAAAACTAAAAGAAAAGAGGAGAGAAGAGAAGATGAGATGAGAAAAGAAAACAGAAAAGGAACAAAAAAGAATAATATGAGAAAAGGAATGGGAAAAAGGAGAAGGCGAGAAGAGAAGGGAAAAGAAAAGGGGAAAATTGGAAAAGTAAAGTGAAAAAGAAAAGAAAAGAAAAAGAAAAGATTAGAACATTGTTGAACAGAAATAAAGAAAAAGTGAAAAGAAAAAAAGAAAAGTAACCATGTTTAAGCCACTATTCTCTGAATAGAAAATTCAGAGAATTTCTAGGAAGAGAAATATATTGATATTTCTCTTCCAAAAATATCAGTATATTCCACACAGACTCTCATTTGAATAAAATCAATTCACAAAATAAAATGAAGAATAGAATGAATAAAATGAAAACATTTTTTAAAAAGGCGACGAGATAAGCTGAGAGCAGAGAATGAGAGTGAAAGAGAGATGTGCGAGTGTGTTTGTTCTCCTGCGGGTCAGTGTGTCACTATCAGGGTGACACAGATGTGAGACGACATACAGGTGTGAGTGTGTGTGAATGTGTTTGAGTGTGTGTGTGAGTTTTGTGTGAAGAGCAGTGCTGGTGGGAAGATGAATCCATTCAGCTTATCAGTGACTCACTGCAGACAAACCACAAAACGCTTACTACTGAGGGTCCACAGCCACCAATGAACAAACCACTCCAACACACACACACACACACACACACACACACACACACACACACCCTAAACCTGCCCCTCACAGAAAACTTTGCTATTTTAGATGTTCAAAAACCTTCATTCTGTATTATTTATAAGCTTGTTTCCTCATGGGGACCGAAAAATGTCTCCACAAGGTCAAAATTTACTGGTATTACTATACTTGTGGGGACATTTGGTCCCCATAATGTAGGGAATACCAGGTGCACACACACACACACACTCGTGTCCCTTCTTCAAAGTGTGCTCATCTTTTTCACTTGTTTTATCATCCAGTTGAAGCTTGATTTTTTTTTACTCGTTTATTGGCCACAAAGGGTATATTTTCACAATTTCCCCCTCATTTTTACCCATTTTATTGCCACCAAATGTAACTTTTTCACAGTTTATTCTTATTTTTACCAATTTTCCTGGCTAGTAAATGTTATTTATTTGATCATTAATTTTTACCCATTTTATTGCCCACCAAATATATTTTTTTCCACTTTTTTTGTTCTTATTTTTACCATTTTATTGCCCACCAAATGTAACTTTTTCACAGTTTTTTCTTCTTTTTACCAATTTTATTGGCAAGCAAATGTAGTTTATTTTATTTTATTCTTATTTTTACCCATTTTATCAACATTGGCCATTGGCCACCAAAATCATTTTTTCCACCTTTTTTAAAATATTATTATTTCCCCCCTTTTCTGGACAGCAAATATATTTTTCACTTGTTTTTATTATTTTTATCAATTTTACTGTGCACCAAATGTATCATTTTCCCACTTTTTTCCTGATGTTTACCAATTTCATTGGTCACCAGAAGTATTTTTTTCACTATTTTTCATTCAGTTCACCTCCTCACCTCTTTTTCAACAAACACTGACAGCAGAAAAGGCACATGCAAATAAACAACACTAACCTGGAGTGCAATTCTTTCTCTGTGAACACTCTCCTCAGTATTTTACCAGCATACTGCTGTTTAAACAAGTCAAGTTTTCAATTTCCATTCCTTTTTAACTGTTAAAATGTCAGGCCTGTATCATTGCACTAGCAACAGGAGGATCATGGGTTCGATTCCTAGTGAATGCATGAACTGAGAAAACGTATACCTTGAATGCAATGCAATTCGCTTTGGATAAACATCAGCAACTCCTGCTTGATGCTGTTTATAAGGATGCATGGTACTGTAGATGAGGTGCACGTGTCTCTACGACACAACGGAATGAAAAAAAAACAATCTGAGTGCTGTTTGCATGTGCAAAACTCATTGTCACGTTGCTAGGGTATTCTGTTTGGTTGACAGTTTTTTTTTTTCCTGTCTTGTGCCCTCAGGTCTCTTTGATTTGGTCTCTAAATATGGCTTGTGTCCCCATTTTTTAATATATATTTTTTGGCTTGTGTTTACCCATTTTATTGGCAATCCAAAATATTTTCTCATTCTTACCCATTTTATTGACCAGCAAAATGCAATTTTTCCAATTTTATTGGCCACCCAAAGAACATTTTATTTTCACAACTCTTATTTTTACCCATTTTATTTGCCCAAAAAGTAATTTTCCAGTTTTCCCCTTATTTTTCACCATTTTATTGGCCACCTAAAGGATTTTTTAAACATTTTTACCTATTTTGATCTCTTTTTTAATTGGCTAGCAAATGTATTTTGATTACCATTCTTGTCTTATTTTTACCCATTTTATTGGTCAACAAAAGTAGTTTTTTTCACCATGTTTTTTTCTAATATTTACCCATTGTATTGGGCAATGAAAGTATTTTTTCGTCTGTTTTTCCTAGTTTCCCCCCCCTTTTATTTCTCGTCAAATGTTTTTTTTTTTTTTTAAGTTTTCTTTTATAATTTTATCTGCTTAAAGGAGTAGTACACTTCCAGAATGAAAATTTCCTAGTAATTTACTCACCCCCATGTCATCCAACATGTTCAAGTCTTTCTATCTTCAGACGCAAAATAAATAAAGGTTTTGAGGAAAACATTCCAGGATTTTTCTCAATATAATGGACTTCAGTGGGAACCAACGGGCTGAAGGTCCAAACTGCAGTTTCAGTGCAGCTTCAAAGAGCTCGACACGATCCCAGCTGAGGAATAAGAGTCTTATCTATTCAGGAAGTGAACTACTCCTTTAACTAACCACAGGGTTTGACCTCTCTCTGTTAGTTTGCTGCACCATTGATAAGTTTACTAGACGACATAACGATGGTTTCATTCTTCATAAATCTTTATCGAGATTTATCAATCACACAACAAAAGGAGAAAACTGAATTTGGGCACCATTGTACAATATTCTTTTTTTGTATCTGTCCCAAAAGAGTGAAAAAATCTATAACAAATAATTATTATATAATTTTATGTCATATTTCCTAAAACAATGGTTAGAATCAGTTGTTGAAAATATATATTGTTGGACTCCCTGTTTACGCTGCTGCTGTACAGGCATCCATGTTGTTTGATATATGTAAATGAAGCTGATAATGAGCATGCGATAGGCTACACTGCCTCAATAAAAACACATTCATCAAACCAGCCGACATGCTGTGGCACAAAACACCAGGGGAAAAAACCCTCAGAAAAGAATAAAAATACATGCAGTCAGTGAGACAGTCAGTTCGATTCTGAAGGACTCGTAAGCAGCCGCTCAGCCGTTTGATGGCGTTTAATGCCTGCTGTTGTGAGGAGTTGGAGTGAGTAATCCACACGCGGGGGAACAGACACAGATTAATCAAATCAACGCCAAGTGCTTCATTATCTCCTTAACACGCCGAGAAACAACGAGAGAGCTCATTAAAACACTTCAGACCAGATCAGACTGGACTTACAGGGACTATATGAGAGCTTAAAGAAAGAGATCTGTCAT